TGTTTTTGTTTTTATTTTGCTGGGAGAAACTTGACCAAGTAACTTTTTGATTTCATTTTCTCCTTGACGACCAATCAAGTTTTTCGGTTTTGTTGTTTTTTTTTTATTTCTTTTTCAGTCTAGTTGTCCTGGACACAACTAGACTGACCACAAAAATTAACACTTGGACATTACCGATAAACAAAAAAAAATTTTTGTTATCCTTGGCCAGATTTTAATCAGGTTAATTTTCACCTATATCAGATATGCGCGCGCAAATGGTTACATTTTTTTGAAATTTATCTGCATTTATACGCATGCGTCTGAAACTTTGGATCAAAAAAGATTTTTTGAAGATTTTTTTTCCAATTCCGAATTGTCATTGTCCAACGATGAATTCATCTAAACATCAGCAAATGGAAAATCTACAACAGCAACCGTCGAATGATAATCAACAACAAACGAATATTGATTATGAATTAAAATTAGCTAGACAATCACATTCGAGAAGAAAATCCGAAATAAAACCACGTCGTGATAATAAAAATCCGAAAAAAATGTTAAAAAAATTGGAAAATTGTTGCTGTAATAATTTACAAATTATCAAATATATTCTGATCATATTGGCCATTATTGGATCATTATTCGGATCGATTTTGTTGATTATTGCAGGTGATCCACCATTTAATCAAGGTGAACTTTATCAACATAGTGATTTAATGCGTTTGGTTTATGGTATACATCAAAATCTTTTGGATGTAAAATCCGTGGCGAATGCAAATTCAAATCAAAAACCGACGACAACATCTCCGGTTTTTGTTCCAGCATTGATTGAAAAACGTGATATCCATCATAATCAAGATAAATGGAAAGAAATATTTCATCTGGACACGTTGAAAGATTTAGCAAAATCTAGTCGAAATCAACTAATTCTGTTGAAAGAAAATCAATTCGGTAGATTTTTACAAAAATGGCTTCCAATTAAACGTTCAGATTTTCAATCCAATGACCCTATACTGAATGATTTGAATTTTTATTGGAATAATTACTCAACATTTCAAGTGGCATTCATAACCCTGTTGTTATTATCAAACACCCTGTTGTTGTTGACATGGATTTTTTTTAAATTATTGAAAAATTTTCAAAAATCCAGACAAAAATCTAATGATCAGATCGATGGTGATCAAATGGATGATCAAAAATCAAAAATATCCGAAGGAAAACAATTCATCAACGAGCAAATTGGACAGGTTTCCAAACAATTTAAACAAAATTTTCGTGAAATAAATATGAAAAATCGTTTATTTTGGTTTAGTTTATTATTTCAATTCGCATTGATTGTTATTCTATTATGTCGACCAAATTTTTTCATTATTGTTTTGCATCAGGTTTGTTTTTTACTTTTATCTGTTGGATGTTTAGCAAGTACATCGATCCGGTCGTTGAAATCTGCATCAGCGAAATCATCGAAATCTTCTTCGAAATCCGTATCAAAATCTTCGGCAAAATCGCATGGTGGAATCATCATTGATCGACCACCACCACCAACGCCCCCACCATCCGTACGATTAAATATCGAGAATAAGCAAAACTCCATTGATCAACCTTCGATTAACATTGATAATGGTGGTAATGGAATAAAAATTCAAACAATATCATCAGGTGAGACACCTATTTCGGTAAAATTACCTGAGTTAAAAATATCAACGTCAAAACATCATCATAAAAAACATCATCGTCATAATCGAAAACGATCATCACCACCACCATTACCAGGTGAACGACAAATATTATCACCCTTAATCGAACATAGTGTTAAAAATGATGATCAGGATCAGAATGATCACCAGAAACAATATCCAGATGATAAAAATCCATTTGAAATATCCATTAAAAATCCAATCAAAAATATCAAACTGAAAAATCCATTGGAAAAATTGGAAATTAAGAATCCATTCGGAGAAATATCCGAAATAATAACCGAAAAAAACAACAATGTCGATGATAATCTCCATGTTGATATCGAGGTTAAGAATCCAGAAATAAAATTACCTAAAATCAATAATTTAATCAAAAAAGATGATGCGATATCGTCGATGGTTGCCATCGACAAACAACCTGAAAGTGAATTGGATCCATCATTATCATTATCAGCATCAAAGAATCCAACCAAATCGACCAACAACAAACTGCTTGAAATAAAATTACCAAAAATCGAACCAATCAATGTATCGATGCCGAATATTTTAACAACCACAACATCGACAAATGATGATGATCAACATACTACAATTGATATTTCAATCAATCAGAATCCGATTGATAATTTATTATTGATGGAAAACAAACTTTTCGATAAAATTAAGGACAACAACAACAACAACAACGACGCTGCTGATAATAATAATCATATTGATCGATATGATGATGAATATCACGATAATAATCATCATAATGATAATCAAACCAAATCGATTAATAAAATTGAACAACAACAACAACAACCTGAACAACAACAACAACAAGATGATGATGATGATGATGAAGAAGAAATTGAACAACCAATATGTTCAGTATGTTCAAATTCACCAACAACAAACCAAAACAATTTCTAAAAAAAATCACGATTATCATTATCATTATCATCATCATCATCATTATCGATTATGGATCTTTGCTTTTCATCGAACAAAAAAATCAAAAATCAATCAAATTTGAAACAAACAAAAAAAAAATCACACAACATTCATCATCATAATTAATGTTGCATGACTTAATTCTTTTGTTTTTTTTGAAAAGAAAAGAAACGAAATTTTTATTATTATTAGTTTTATTTATTGTTTATATATCATTGATTGATTGGTTATTTGAACTAAATAAATGCTAATAATGATGATAATAATAAAGAAAAAATCTTTGAATAATTTGAGTTGAGAGGGTTCAACATGATAGAGATGATAAACTGCTGATTGATTAGTTGAAATTAGTTGATTTATGTTTGTCGTTTTGCAAAATTTTCAATTTGCATAAATCAATCGATAATAAATGGATGATGATTATACAGCCACCAATATTGATTTTTCCTGAAAAATTTTTTCATATTACAAGGTGATCGTTACGGATACCCAGGTAACCCGAAAAAAACAAAAACGAAAAGATACCACCACCATACACGCAAATAATTTTGTTTATTTCTCCATTTTGATGATGATGATAATTATGGCCAATCATTAAAAATGCGCGCACCGTGCGTCTCTGCGTTTGATTTCATTGTTGGTTAGTTGGTTGCTGTGATCGTTGTTTCTTCATTTCTTCATTCGAAGATATTTTTAGCATATAAAATGAAATGAAGAGAAAACAGAAAAAGTCAAACGAAAATCGATCCACCAGCACAATGTTCGCACGAAACGAGGCCAGAAAGGTTTTTTTTCTTTTTTTCCCATTTTTGGTTGCCATGTTTATTTCAAAGCTTCTGCTTTCGATTCATGACCAGAATTTTTGTTTTCTGTTTTCTGGTTCACCTTGATTTGTTTTTCATTATTCGTTCATTATTACCCGAGTACAAGTACAAGTATAAAGATAATAATAATGGGTCTAGAATAATATTCAGGGCGTGTTAATGTGGATGAGAGATAAAAATGACACGAACGAACCAAAAAAAAAAAACCGACATCGATAGTATCGATCCCGGGAATGAAATGAAAATGAAATTGGTGAAAATTCATTTCATTTGAGTTTTTCCACAGTTGAAATTCATTTCAAGTCGTCGTACATAGTCGGCAAAAATAAAACAATGTCCAATTTCAAACATTTATCAATAGCATGGCGAAGATTTTGTCGTCGTTGGTATCGTAAAAATTCTTATTCCGAAACATCATCAACGAAATCGATGGCAAAATTACCAGATTTATCACCACGTTTACGTTTAATATTCATTATTGTTGCATTCATATTCTTAGCAATTGCTGCATTCATTTTAATATTGGTCATTTTGACTACTAATGGTAATGAATTAGAACCAAATGATAATCATGGATCATCAACCTCAGCAAAACTATTGTTTCGATTAAAACAAATAATCAATAATAATCGAACAATTGTTATATTTTTATCAACAACATTTGCATTATTTCAATTGATGGCAATCGGTGCTGCAATATTCAATTGGTCGATTGTTCTGTTTTCCTATGTTATTATAACCGGTATTTTCGGTACAATCATCGGTATCGTCGGTATTGTTGGCATTATATTCACTTGTTTGTTGATGAGACATGATAATCATCATGATCATACAATAACAATAACTATTGCTATTGTTATTTCATTTGTATTTATATTCTATTTGATGACAATACTTGGTTTACGATTAATGGATTATTTTCGTCGACGTAAACGTAATTTAAATGATAATAAAATGGGTAAATCAATAAGAAATTTACGTTTAAATCGTAATAATAATGGTGGTGGTGGTTGTGGTCAAGGTCATGATAATAGCCATTATAATAATCAACAACAACAACAAAATAACCGTAGGCCATCATCATTATATCGTTCAATAAATTCATTATCAATCAATGATCAACAACAATTACGTAATCAAATTGAAAATGGTATCAATATCGATATTAATATAGATGATAATAATAGTGATGATGTTGATGATAATGATGATTATTATTGTGATAATAATGATGATGATGATGATGATCCAAATCAAATGACACAGATATCATTATTATCATCGATACCAACCAATAATCAATCATATTTGGTAAAATTTGGATCATCATCATCATCATCATATGCAAATAATTGTTAATTTGAATGAAGTTTAGTAAATTTATGTTGTGATTTGAAATTTAACATTAATAATGATGATGATAATTAAAATATTTTGATGAATATTGTAATGAATCTAGATACAATTCATGAAAATCGCTTTCATAATCCATAACATTCAGATTTGTTGTTTGTAACAATAAATCATTTTCATTAGACATTCGTTTACCATCACCAAAATCATGATCAATATTGATCATTTGTATCTTACAATTCGCTTCATTTATCATTATATTACTATCGATACATTTCTGTAGTCAATCAATATTGGATTGATTTTCATGATTACCATCTTCATTATCATTGCCAGCAACAATTTCATCATCATCATCATTTTCTGTTTCTTGTGATTTTGGTTTTTGTTGAAATTCTTTGATCAATAATTCAAGATCACGTTTATCAACCAAATCCAATAATTCAATACGACCATGCATTGACATTGCTGATCGTAATAAACTCCAGATTGATGTTGATGTAATATTATCTCGATTCAGATCGACCATATCTTTAATTGAATCAGCACCAGCATTTTGTAATTGTAATACCGAAAGTAAATGTTCAGCAGCTTCTTCACCAAAACCCATCATCATACATGATATTGCTAGATTATATCGGGCACGTATATAACCTGGATAACGAATTAATGCTTCACGATAAGCAGACATTGATTCTTCAGCACGACCACCATTTGCCAATGATGCACCATAACGATTCCATAATAAATAATCATCCGGTCGGGATTCTAATGCCAAACGAAAACAATCAATAGCTTTTTCATATTCACCGGATAGATTATGTAGAATACCAAGACCACATTGAACATCAGGATCAGATTGTTCATCTGTTGTTGATAATTGGGCAGCTTCTATGAATGTTTCACGAAGTGAATCAAATAGGCCATTTGAAAATGGATTTCCAATACGTGCTGTTTTCTGTATCCATCGTTTTGATAATGGTGTTGGACCAAGATATGGTTCATCCGATTCTTTATTAGCTAAATCACGATATTTCGAATGATTATTTAACCATTCTTGTAATGCATTACAAGCTTCAGTTGTCATTGATTCATTTGTAAAACTAGCTGCTAAATACATTAATGAATCCAATATAATTTGTTCATCTTTCGGTTGTAATGATAAACATCGTTTAAATGCAGCAATTGATTTATGATCATTTTCATTTTTAGCATTAGCAATGCCTAATAAATACCATGCTTCAATATTTTCTGGTTGTTGTTTTGCAGCAGCTTCAAACAATAATACAGCAGCTGATAGATCACCAATTTGCATACGTTGTTTACCTTGTTCAATATAATTCTGCGATTCTACTGCATCGTTGTTTTTCGTTTCGGATGATTCATTCGAAGAAACAACAAATGGATTATTTTCCATTAATTTATAATAATAACGATGATCAGATTTTAATAGATTTTCTAATGGTTCACGAATTTGAACAACATTTTGATCAACATCGGCCAATAAATCACCACCAGTCATATCATTTGAATGCCATTCTTCAGCCAATTTCATCCAAAATTCCATATCATCAAATTGATTTTCATAGAAAAAATTTTCATTCATTTTTTGATCATTATCAAGTTTTATAGATGATTTTGTTGCGGTTGTTGGTGGTTGTTGTTGATCTAATTGTTGAGATGATTGGCCATCAGTCATCAACATTTCTCCTTGTCGAATATCAATATCGACAGTTTTTTCTGGTTGAATTTCAACTTTAGCCATTGATCCAATTACTGATGGTTGTTGTAATGGTGGTGATATTGTTGTTTGAAACGATGATGATAATGAAATATTTTCACCAGTTTGATTATTTCCCAACAACATATTAATCAAACGACTTTCTTGATCCGATACTAAATCATTTAGATTTGCATCACTAATTGCTGTTGATGTACCAAAATCTTGACGACGTAAAACTGGACGTAAAAATGGTAGATATGATTGTTGTGGAAAAAATTCTTCAACATTATCAACCGATTGTTGACGATAATTATCATCAATATTTGTTGAACATTGATCAGTTTGAATTTGATGTACTTTTTCATTCAAATCCCAGCTACCATCAACACCACCATTTTGATTTTCCGATTCACCACCACCAACTTGAACATTTGAAACTTTAATTGTTGAACTTTCATCATTATTATTATTATTGTTCAATTCTAATTTCCGTAGATATTCATCAGCCCAATCAACATTCAATTCAGGTAGTTTATTATCATGTTGTTGTTGTTGTTGATTAAAACCAACACCATCATTATTATCATCATACATTAGATTTGGTGCAATTTCATTCCAAAATGGATCCTGTTCAGTTTTCAATAATGAACGAATTGAATCTGGTGGTTGACTAACACCAACAATATTTTGATCATCATCATTAACAGTGGACAATATTTTCGATTCCATACGATTCATTTCATTCAATAATGATTCCATATTGAATGCGGATGATTCTAATGAATCATCAATAATACCACCACCATTACTATTTAATAATAAAGATTCAACAGCCGATGATAATGTATTATCCGATTGTTGTTGTCGTATCGAATTATCAAATGCCATTGATTCATTTATTATTGTTGTAGCATTAGCCATTGAATTATCTACGGCTGCTGATGATGATGATGACTGGGCAAGCTGACGAGCCAGATCAATCATCGGATTTGTTTGGCCACATTCATTACTTTCCAACATTGATTGAAATGACATTTTTGCTCAATTTTTCGTTATTGCTTTTCAATTTTGAAATTTGTTTTTTGGTCGATGTTTTTCAATTTTGGATCAATCTAATAAATGAAAAACAAAAAATCAATTTTAATAAAATCTGTTTCAAAACAATCAAATTAATTACCAAAGGTTTACAAGATCCAATCGATCGTTTACCGAAAACTGAAAACAAAAAAGGAAAATTTGATTTAATTTTTCAATTTGACAAAAAAAAAATCTTGGAGTTTCAATTGAGGATGATGATTTGACCAAATATTTTCCAGAAATATTCTTCCGGAATATTCACCATAAAAATGATGCAATAAGCAAATGAAATTGGCCAAGATCAATGGATTACTGATTTTCATTCATTCATCTTGCGTTTTTTTGAATCAGGAACGTTGAATTGATTTATTCTTCAAAATTTCAAATCAAAATCTGTAGGTAACAAGAAGAAGAAAAAAACACAACGTAGCAATCAAACAAACAAACATTCATCGACCCGAACATCAAGATTCTTCAATCACACACACACTCAACAACAATATCACTCACACATCACACAAAACAACGATGATGGCAATGACGACGACAAACAAACAAACAAACAACGATCATTAATAATGTTCGGTAAAAGATAGTGAGAGAGAGATGATGTTGTTGTTGTTGTCCAAATAGATGTTGCGAAGAAGAAATGGATGCGGCTGCTGTTGCTGTCTTTTATTGATGTCGAATGATGATAATGTGATTGACACATACACACACACAGTGAGAGGGAGAAAGAGAGAGATGCGAAGACACTTTACCACTTCTTTTTTCTTCTTCAACGATGATCGTTGTCGATCGGTCGTCGTCTTATGAAAAAAAAAACCAAACCGAATTCAAACGACAACAAACAAAAAAAAAATGTTCGAATGAGTGCTTCGAGTATTATCTTCGTAATAATGTTTTTCGATTTCGAAAGAGAAACATTTATTTGCTCAATGGAAACAAACTTTTTTCCTGTTGTATAGATCGGATTGATGGAAAATAGAATTTTTTTTTTAACCCTGATTGACACGTTTATATCTCGTGCACTCACGTGATACAACGATGGAAAAAAATGATGATAATCAAATAAAGATTCAAATGGAAGATTTTCTTGACGAATTTGATAAATCAAAACATCAACAAACAACAATGAACAGATCGAACACCAAAAATATTGCCACCACCCCCTTCTTTTTGTTGTTTTAATTTCACCCACCATACCCAGAAGGTGGAAATAGTCGCTGGTCAGGATTGTTTTTGAATTTTTGAAAAAAAAAGTTTTTTATTTCAAATTTTGTTTTTCTTTTTTTCTACAATCATTTTTTTGTTTTGTTTTGTTTTTGAATGAATAAAATTTTGAATTTGTTGTTCACGTTTCATTCGTATTTGTTGTGCATGATTCATTTCTCGAGATAATTCTGTATCGGATTTTATTAATTCCATTTCAAGTAAATAACGTTTAAAAACATTATTCCAATTATCATTTGGATTTTGACAAATATCATGTAGAATTGATAAGAATAATGTCCATGATATAACGCCATGAAATTTATTCCAAACAATATGTTCTATGGTCGGTAGCCGACGTACTAATATTGATTTTGATTGATTCGCCAATCGATTAATACGATTAAATACTGGATCACGAAGATTACGTGAATAATGACCAGGTATCACTAGAATATTACGTTCGGTATCCAATAATTCGGATATTTTTACAGGTATTTTTGCATTTGGTGTAAAATAGATTAATTTTTCTTCTTTTTTCAATAATTCAGTAGGTTTCAAATGATGTACAACATATTGATATTGTTTTGGATCATTCCACCATGTGAAAAAATTGCTAACAATTTTATCAAAACGATTCGATGATGATCTTTGATGATTACTACGTATAAATTCAATACGAAATGGTTGTATTGTACGATATTTATTCATTGCTAACATATAACGTAATTCATCTAAGATTTTTTTTGTTTGAAAAAAATCCTGTTCCATAACATAATTCAAATCGATCAATAACCGAGGTGTTGATGGACAATACATAGCCATACTTGTTAAACGACGATCAAATAAATGTGATGTTGATGAACGTTTCATTTTGGTAAATAAACAATTATGCCATAAACCATATTTTAGTTCACCTTGATTTGACCAGATACCCGATCGATTACCATCATCATCATCGTCATCATTGTCTTGATTTTGTTCTTGACGCAATTTATCTAAACGACGAAAATATTTTTCATAAAGTTGTCGTCGATTATTTATGTAATAATTTATTAATCGATCATCAACATTATTATCATCGGTTTGTTGTGATAAAATTTCAAAAATTTCTTCAGATTTTAAATGTAATTTTTGTTGAATTTTCGGATCAAATTCATCAAAATTTAAATTATGTTCATATATACCATAATCAAAACGTTCTAATATTATTGTTATTTGTTTTTTTAAATCATTTAAGGATTTTTTATCAGATGAAATTAATTTCTTTTCCATTAAATCTTTTAAATAAAATTCAATACGATCATTTTTCTGATCACCTTGATGATTATGACATATCGATAGCGCAGTTATTGATTGATTATTACGAAAAAATTTATCAATTTGTCGTCGATGACAAAATTTAATTGTCGAAATTGATAATTTTCGAAACATTGTATTTTTCAAAACAAAACAAAAACAAAAACAAATGAAAATTCAAAAAATTCACATGTGTGATCATCCATGGGTGAAAATAGTCGATTCGAATGAATAGAAATCGTCAACAATAGATGGCAGTTGAGCAGCGGTAGTGAGCCTTCAAAACATTCGAAACATTCGAAATCCATATTTTCAACAATGGAAAAAACGATGAAATAATCAACCGAAAAAACCCGAATATTCAATTCAAAATCACAATCATCTGAATCTGAATCTGAATTACCGAACAAGAAAAGAAAACGAAAACAGCAATCGAAATAACGACGAACAAAGAAAACATCTGTTTACATTCCCATTCGAACGAACTGAACAAAGTGACTTGAACACCGATGATGATGATGATTATGACGATTATATTGATATGTATCAAGTGTCAAAAGAAAAATATGAAAAAAATATCTTGATGGTTATATCGATAATAGAATAACAAGAAAGAAAAAATATATCATATCCTCATCCTCATCATTCATAATGTTTATAGTAACAAGTAGCAAGCGAAAAATCCATATTTTTTTGAAAAATTGTTGTTGTTATTGTTACGTTGTTTCAAGTGTTTCAAGTTTTTTTTTCATTTTTGTTTTTTCTATAGATTCGACAATTGGTGAATGGCATCCTGAAACATGTGCATTGCTTCACACATCATCAACAACAACAAAAACGATGATGATGATCAAAAGGTTTTTTATTTTCAAAAACAAAAACAAAAAACATCAGAATCGAATCGTATCGAATGTTGTTGTTGATGATCAAGTAATTCATTAATCATAATCATCATCATTATCAAACAAAGAATTTTTGTTTTGTTTGTTGTTGTTTTCAATGATAATTTGTCATCGAATTTGTTGGCAACAAGAAGATAACGCTTTTGTTTTTGAATTTTCTTGTCGAATGTTTTTGTCATTATCATCATAATCATCATCGTTGGGTCCATCCGAACATCAACAAAAATGTCAATCGCGATCGGTCAAAAGCAAGAAACAAAAATTTATGTATGATTTCTACACACAAACTCAAACGACAATCATCATCATCATTATCCAATGATATTGATTCCTCTGGAGAGAATGAGCTTCCCGAAAAACGAAACCACCGAAATTGCTTTTTCTCGATCATCATCATCATATAATAACGAAAAAGTGTCAAATGTCAAATGTGTGTTGTGTTGAGATCATAAATGTCACCGAAATATATCAATATGGTGTGTTT